TTGTTTTGCTTTGCGAAGTGCTAATCCGAGAGCTCCTTGGCAGGCGGTGGCTCTCGCTGCTTTATTTGCGCTCGCCTCACGGTGGCGTTTTAAGCACATAAACAAAGCCCAAGCGAGCGGAGAGGCAAGTGTGTTTTCTAGTTTACCTTTATTAGAATAACAGTTCCGTTAATGTTTTGGGTAAATCAAAACTGCCTATTAAAGCGGTTCAAGTGCAGGAGAGACGCGATGCTCTACGTCAGTGGAAGGTGCTTTAATCTCCCCGGCCGGCACAAAGCCCGGCTGAACGAGAGCGAGAGTCTCTGTCGTCTGAACAGCGCGGTCTCACCTGGGGTCGGGTTTTCTTCCCTCCTTGCCTCTCTCCTCCCCCAGCCCCCCAGGAGAAGTTTACAAAGAATGTGACTGAAAGTGCAAAGCGGCAGATGCCGACGTTAAACTCCGGCTTGATTTGAGTATAACGATGCGAGACACAGCCCCGAGCCGCCGCCCTCATTAATACAGAAGCATGCCCCTGGGACCTGGGTTACCCGGGGAGAATAAACACAATATAGAGTCATCTTACCTCCGAGCCGAGAGAGCAACGTTAGAGGTAGGAGAGGGAAAAGCGTGGCTCTCCTCCGTCCTACCTCGGCCGGTCTGCCGCAGGGCTCCGGCAGCGCTGCCGCCGCCTGCCCAGCTGGGATCCGCTCCCCAGCGTGCTCCCCCCGCCCCCCGGCAGGCAGTCCCCAAACTCAGCCCAGCACAAATCCAGAAGCCAGGGGCAGCGTTTCGAGTCAATCCGTGCCGGTGCAAATCCCCCGTGGCTTCTCTCCGCCAGAGCGTGGAACAAAATTGCCGGCTACCCTGAGTTTTTGCCAGGCTTTATTGGCAATCTAGGAGCAGGTAAGGCGGCTGCCGGCTGCCAGCGACTCCCGGTGCACCTGCAGAGAGCAGCAGAAGCCGGTGGAAGTGGGAGTGTGGTCTGCTCTTCATTAGGGAGGGGGGAACGGACCCTGGAGGTGATGCAGTGAAACACTTCTACTTCCTTGCATTGTGTTTGTTACAGATCACGGGCGCTCTCCTTTTATAACATTCACTTCAAGCATTCTCAAACCCAAATGGAATAAGTTCCGATCCTCCCCTTTAGTTTACATTGGGGTTGTCAAAGGATTAAATAAATGAAACTTTATTTGACCGTGGAGTTTACAGACCCTGGGATCCCTGCGCGCTCTGGCCTTATTCTAATTCTATAGCGGTAATTACCCTTCGTTTCTTTAAGTGCAATAGATTTATTGCCTTAGAGACTATGCACAGTTTGATTGAATTATTCATTTTTTTTTCTTTGGTGTAGACTGCATCTGGGGACTGATGTGACGTGTAGATTTTTTTTTTCAGGAACAAAGGGAATGTGGAAATGAAAGAGAGAGGGAGAGAGAGGCTGGCAGATGTGATGAGATGCGGTGAAGGTGTATCCAGCTTGGCACTCCCACTCCTCTCTTCTCCTCTCATTGCAGCCCTGGGTGACTCTCAGGCTAACACAAACAGCTTTTCTTCCGCAGCCTGCCCTCTGTCACTGTAAGTACAACAGCCTTCTCTTATCAGCATGCAAATTCCAGCCACTCACTACCTTAGCCTGGTGTTTGCACTTTAGATTTACAGAGGGGACCTTTAAAATGAACTTTCCGAGACAGGAAGGGGTTTTCATGTCAAACTTGCTTTTATTTTCTTTGTAAAAGTTTATGTGGTTTTTCAAGTGTCCCCCCCCTCCCCCCTTTTTTTTTTTTGAACGGGGGGTTGGAGTGGGGAGATTGTTGCTGCGGCTTTTTGCTTCACTGTCAAGATGATGCACAGTTTCAAATGAAATTAAAATCTGCTTGATCCTCTTTCTGCCAGGACAATACATTGTGTTGGCAGATGACGCTGTAAGGAATTCAGAGTTTTTGTTTTCAGTCAGATCTTCAGCTTTGGGCGTTATAAAATGCAAACGTCCCCTAAATTTTGAGGAGATCGCCAGAGGTTCTTGTTCTAGGGAAACTCGTATCAGCTGATGGGTTTGCTTATGAAGAAACGTGCAGTAATATGCTTCTATCTAGTCTAACAAAACTTTCTCCCAATCGGATGATCAGGCTTTAACTTCTTTTCCTTTAGCTTTCTCTCAGATGCTGTTGATTATTTTGCAAAAGTTTTTCTGAACATCTTTAACAAGCCTATAAAAAGTCTCCATTGTCGGAGAGTGTCAGCAGAGGGAATTTATAAATATGCCTGTTAATTGTCCGACATTAACTGGGGAGAGAGGGGAGTTTAGAACTGGGCGAATGACTTTTAAGGTGGAATTTCTTGCCCTTTGAATCAAAACTTCTGAGACTGTTCCACCAACTCTACAGGAGTTGTAGGTTTGCTCATCATGTGAAAGATGCGGTCTGTAAAACACCACACAGACAGGTTGCTTCGCTCGTTGAATATTGCTTTACTTTAACGCATTTAATGAGAGAGACGGCGCAAAATGCAATGACAGCCGTGAACAGGTAAGTGCCCCGACGTGAACCGAGCGCCTCCGATCCCTTCCCTCTGCAGGGACCCACAGCAGCTCAGCATCCCTCCTCAACATCTGCCTCCGCGGGCTGCTCTGGCTGGTTTTAGCCTTAATGAAGCAAAAGCAAGGGAAGTAATTTAAAACGCGGTCTCTAAACGTATGGTAACGCTAAAAGTAAAAGCGTTTTCTAGTTTCTCGGCACGTGTGTACGTATCTACGCGGCGGGTGTTCACTTATGCAAACAAAGAGGGAACCACAATTATTCCTGTGCAGCGCACACACACGCACATTTGCATACAATGCCCAAGGAGTCCTCTTTTTCTACCGCGGAGAAGTTGCAGCTCTCTGGCACTGTGTGTTACATCTGTAACCTAATTGATCACACAGGGGAAGCAACAAGCTGGAGAGTATCACTTGCGCTGCGCCTGGGAACGTGGACGCATCTCTGCGCTGTCCTGCCCCAGCCGAGTGTCATTCTCTGCACAGGATTTTCGGGAGTGCAGCGAGATGCTCCCCCGATTTTGGAGCTGGTGGGCGGTTAGATTTATCCGATACCTTAATTATTTCTTGTCCCATTACCGCCTCGTACTTAATAAGGAGGACGCTACATTTGAGGAGTGGGGTTTGGGTTGTTTTTTTTTTTTCTGTTTGTTTCTTGAAAGAAAAAACTTCCAGTAACAAATTGATGGGCTTGCACACTCGGGCAGGATAGTTCGTCCTTGTATTCTGATTACATCTCTTTTCCTACACAGCTCATTTTTTTGCGCGCCAAAGCTACTAGTTAGGCAAAGAGTCAAGGTGTTTCCTTTTACTTGCAGCAGGTTTAAATGTGTTACAAGGAAAGTGTTAGTGACCAGTCACGGGAATTCTTATAATTAAAGATTAAAAAGGACATAGCAATATCTGGAAAGGCAGCTATTTCCTGTTGTTAAATCCATAGCTCAGATAACTGCAGCAAGGTGAATACTTTGAATTAGCTGAACGCAGGTGAATACGAACTCAGTATTTACAATCTTACAATTTACCCCCATCTCCGAATTTCAGTTTTTTAGTATCTTTTATTAAAATTGAAAGAATGCGTAGGAATTAGCTACTATGCCCCCAGCCAGCCAGTTTGATGATAAACCTTTACTAGATAATTTTAAAGTTCTGTTTCAAGGTGTTTGCTGCTTGCCGAATAGGACTTGATTGCCCCTTTTATTGTAGTGGAATTGCCAAAAATACTGTATAAAATAGGTCCGCTATTCCAAGAGGTTCTGACTTAAAACTCATTTTCCCTGGACTCGACTCGAGAGGGACGATAGTACCTCGGATAGCAAGGTAGAGGATGCAATGTGCACGACTCCAATAGTGTGTTGAGTTTTACAGCCTGTTAACAAAATGAAATAGAGCCAGGTCAGATCAGTCCTGTGCCATCACGTTAATGCTCAATTTTCATCACGTCCTTATGAAGCAAGGTTCATTCGCAGTGGGGCTGAGTATGCTTCTGGGTCTAACCTATTCCTCAAATTTCTACTTGAGAGAGGAGGAAAGCGAAGTCAGGCTTTCTCCTCGTCTTTTTGGCCTCTATAAGTTATGAAGCTATTTTAAAATTAAAAAGTTTCTCTGTTACTAACTGTTCCAGGCGCCTTCTGGAAAATGGGGAGAAAGTGCCAAAAATACAGAGATGAATCAACAACTTCTCTCTCTCTCTCTCTCTCTCTCTCATTTTGTGGGCTTGAGGTTGCTTTCCGCACTCCCATCTTAACAACAGTTTAGCCTAGGTGTGAATAATATCAAAAGAGGGAGACGTTAGCTTTGCAGCGCTGTTTGCCCACCTGATCTGCGGGCCCCTGACAGTTTGAAAGACTCTTTTATGTTTACCTTTGGAATGTGAAAATACAGCAGAGAGACTTTCTTGGTTTTGCAGTAGTCTGTGCCACTGGTTGATTTCCTCCTCAGCTCCTTATAGTGTTCCCTTCTTTCTCCCAGATTCCCCTCCCCCCCCCCCCCCCCCCCCCCCCGTTAGCACGTCCAAGGGAGCGTGAGTTCCTAAATTGGTATTCAAGCTGATATTCAAGTCCCTATCTGTTGCCTTTTGGTAGGCAGAGAAAGAGGTATTTATATATTGCCGCTGCTAAAATCTCTCGTTGTCGCCACGAGAATCCCAACTTCAGCTAGAGTCCGTCCTACATCAGTTTTTCTTCCCGGTGATGCCTGCCTTTCCCTTTTAACCACGCTCACGTTTTACCTTTCTGTTGAACGCATCACTAAATAGTTTGTGGACTCCGAGCGCCTCCTCCTTCCTCCCCTCCCCTGGGTGCCTGTAGCTGGACTCCCATCTCTAGTGTAATTTATACTTTACATTTCATCTGGTTTTTAACCCGACGGGGCTGTGGGATCGGGGTCCTCAGAGCCCCATTTATCAACTGTCAGTAAGCGCTTGCTGAGTGCTTGTCTTCTCGTCCCCGCTTCCCCGCCCGCCCCTCCCATGTCCTGCAGATCGTCTCTCTCCCGCTTTTTCCGCCCCCCCTTCTTTTCTTTTCTTTTTTTTTTTTTTTTTCTTTTTTTTTTTTTTTTTTTTTTTTTTTTTTTTTGGGCCTTGCAGCTCATCTGCATTACAGATCAGGCCTCTTTGAGAAAATCAACCATCCATAATTCATTACATGTTTCCTGCAGGGCCTGGAGACGGCCGAGGCCCTAGCAACACAGTCATAGCAACAGCAGCCCGCCCCAGCCAATCGGCGGGGCGGCCTCTCGGCCGCGCCGCGCCCAACCCGCCGGGGGG